CTCAGACGGAAGTGATTAAAGCCCCAAGTCTTTATCTAGTCTCTATGAGCTGTGCTCATTTTCACTAGCATTCCTTCATGGTAGGGTTTAAGACAAACCAACACCCCAAACTGATAACCATTATCGAAACCGTGTGATGTCGAAACCCTCGAAGACTTCTTCTCTTTCTAGCCACCCCTCCGTAGAAAAAGGTGTCCATCGCTGGCCGCGTCCAACCAAACCATCTCAGTCACGGAGCCTCGAAAGCTTGGAGAAATCAAAGCGAAATCAAAATTGCATCGAATGGGAGCCTACTTTCTTCTTTCCTTTTTTGGACTTTCGACTTTTCTTTTTCTTTTTCGATGATTTTTTGTCGCTAACATCGTCGCCTTCACCTAAAATGTATGACATATCTTCTTTGGATCTGGCCTTTTTGTGTGTTAAATATTAGTTTTGTCTCCGTTAGAGAGCCAAAATCTGAGAATAACTATGGCCGTTTTCAACGACATGTGATACATTCTAAGGTGAAAGCAAGAATATCGACTCACCCTCACCCTCTCCCCCTTCGTCTTCCTATAACATATCTCCTCAATATACAGGATATTTAGGGTAAAATGATAATTATTGCTAAGTTCAACTCTGGCAGAAGTGAACATTACCTGCTTTTTGCTTGAACACAGCACTAATTGAATCCAGAAGAAGAAATGAGTGAGTAACAACAATAGTGTCAGCATTAACGATTCTTCAGTAATGTTTTTCATACAAGGGCACTTTCTCTAGAACAATGAAACCTACTAGTTTACAAAACAGACTCGATTCTGATATCTGCTTCTCTGATAATACTGATACGGACTCGTATCACAGTCATAAGTCAAGGATCCTTGTGAGTAAAACGGTTGGTTGTCCGAGTGCTGGATTGAACTTCAGTATCAGCACCTCTGATGAGGCTTGAAAAGAAAGCGATCGGGGACTGTTTTCAGTCAGGAAAGTGAGGAGTTGAAGATTCAGCCTTCAAGGCGCAGAGCATTCTGAGCATTTGAAACCGTGACAAATATCAGGAGGGGTTTAGTGGAAGGGAGACCAGGGTTGCGATCTAAGCCTAGTGATGGAAGAACANGATGGTGAATGACCACTTCACTTTTCATGAAAAAGTAATGCAAGAACTCTGTTCTCCTTCAAGGGAAACTAGGCTATATTATAATCTCCTTTTCCCACTCAAACTAATGCACCAATGTGCTCATTCCCTTTCATATCCTACTCACCATACTCACCATTACTGGAGTGGTGCCCTGGTCAACAACGAAGAGAGAGTTTGCAAATGCAAATGATGGATACTGAGTTGTGTTCATATCGTTAAGTTTTGGACAAGACTAGGAATCTTGTGCACTCGACTGCGTATGTGGACTTTCTAGGTCTCGTTATTACGGAATATGCCCGGAAACTCAAGACATATGCATTCCCTAACTTCGCGGTAACACATCACAGCTTTCGACGTGAAATTTTGGACCGATAACCCGTATCTGCGGACTAATTTCTTCAGCTGTGGGTACACCCAACATTCACCAGAATTGTGAAAGCTTACGCAGTGACCAAGAAGGTCAACCAATTGTTTCGACGGATCGGTGATATAATGCTCAAGTACAGGATATTTATTTCAATATTTATTGGATTAGCAAGTCGTGAATACAATTCGTACCACTACAAAGGTTCAAACAGTGTGAGGATTGTGCAACCTTGTTTGTCTTGCTTTGAGATTGCTGGTGGTGGGTCGGACAGGCGACGAGTTGGAGCGCTCGGCTTATTTCCTTCGACTTGTTGCACCGCACCGCTCTTGTTCATTGTTCATTAGAAACGATTGTCTGTCTCCCTTGTAATGGAGTTGTTGGAGAACGGAGGACGAGCGAGTTGATAGCAGTGCCATTCGCGGCACTGCCCGATTGTGAAACTGCCGAGCTGAGTCGTCGAACTGTCAAGAACTGGCGAGAACTGCATGGGATAGCCCGAGAGAGCAGTCGAGCCCCCGGACTTACACGGACTGGGCCTTTGATACCCAAAAAATGGGCGGCTTATATACTGCTCCGGTGGGCGAAGCGTTTGGTCTTTGGTGGGAACCTACGAACTTCCAGCATTTTTGTGCTTTGGTGTGGAGTTTCCGCATTTTTGGAGCTTCGCTGGGAGTATTGATTGGATAATGAAGGTGTTCATGTGTTTCCTCGTATTCATGAAGAAGAGTCATGACACCAATGTACCATTCGAAGCTTACAACCTCCCAGAAAGTTCTGGTACCGATTGACCGGTGCCAATGCGGTAGAGGATTGTGTTGGCCTAGACAGGTGTAAGTGAGCCGTTATCCATATCACAAAAGGGTGAGGATGTCATTTGACACCGGCCATCTAGCCTCACAGGTGTTTGCAAGAAATTTCAGTCTGTCAAAACTGCTTTCCACCATTTCCATAGGTCAGGGCTTTAGACTCAACCTTAGTTGTATACGTTTGGTTCGAATCCCCACCATGTGTGCTCCATTGTGGATAGTGCAGCATCCACAGGGTCATTAAAGCACGGACACTCGTGGGTGTGGTATCCAGTGCAGCCAGTTTTTGTGCCCTCATTGTGTTCTTCCGAGACCGTTGATCCGACAGCGCCTCATTGGGCATTCCTGGGTCTAGAATCATTCCAGTAGGGAACCGCGTAAATCTTTCTCAACACGGTCTTTGCCTCTGGACGAGCGAATAGTACACAATGTCTCTTCTGTTGTCAGGACTTTTTACACTCGTCGTGTACTGATGCGGATTGCCCAGTGTGAAGTTAGTACAGCCAGCGAATTTATTATGTTTCTATATTTGTTACAGAGTTGATAGTATCAAATGTTTTCTTATGCATGTACACAAATAAACAAAATGACAGGGGAATTTCTTTACTGAATGTGCAAATATTGCCGATTGAGATGTAATTGCTCATGCTTTCTTGTCTTTTCCGAAAACGTCAGCATTCATATTAGCAAGTGTTTGATAGTTGGGATCATAGGTTCCTAAATGAAACAATGTTAAGGCGGATAAGGCAATCCTAAAAGTATCATATCCTGATCCCAACACTTGCCTGCCATTCCTCCGGCTCCAGGTTTGATTTGCGGCGGCGGTGCTGCACCTCCACCTGCAGGGGCTGCTGCAGCTTTCTTATCAGCTCCAAATACGTCGCCACCGATACCGGCTAACGTCTGATAGTTCGGGTCGTAGGTACCTGAACAGCTTCCAGAAGATACAGAAAGCATGTTTAAAATATCATATTACTTACCTGCCATCCCGCCCGCTCCAGGTTTGATCTCAGGCGCTCCACCGCCTCCACCACCTCCACCAGGGGCACCAGCAGCTGGAGCAGCAGCGGCTTTCTTGTCAGCTCCGAACACATCTCCTTGGATGTTAGCCAGCGTCTGGTAGTTCGGATCGTACGTTCCTGCTACCCCTCCCGCTGCAGGAGGCTTTGGCGCTTGCGGCGGTGGAACTCCTGGTGGGGGTGGTTGTGGTGTCGGTGCTGCTGGTGTTGGTTGTCCTGGTGTGTTACCAGCTGCAG